GATATTGCATACCAGAACTATATGCTGAACTACCTAGATTCGATTTGCATTGGGGTTGTTGAGGCGATCAAGGCGATGTCGAAACTGCAGTACACCCTGGATGAAAATAGCTTTTTGGAAAGCAGAGCTATGTGAAAATAAATGGAAACGTAAGGTCTACTCATATCATTGTATGAAAATTCAACTATCAGTCCCATTATTGCCTTAAACGAAATAGTGTGAATACATCTCATATCTGATTTACGGGTAATCTGTAGACATTATTTACAAACGAAAAGCTGTGTAAAATTCAATGGAAATGTAAGGCTTACTCATATCATTCAACTACCAGTTCCCTTATCATCTTTACCGAATTGGGGTAAATAGATCTCATATATCCGATTTACTCTGTCTCAAAACCGTTCTTTCAAACAAAAAATAATCAGGAGACGCAAGTTTATTGGGAGACGGTTAGAAATGTTTAGAGGTTGTTTGACCTTGTTTTCGCAACATGGTCATATTGGTAGGAAGACTTAGAGGAACGCACCTAATCCGAAGTCCATTGTCTGCATGATCATTTCCAAAGTTAAACCGTGGACGTTCTTCCTATCAATATGACCATGTTGCAAAAACAAGGTCAAACAACCTCTATACAACGAAAGGAGACTGTTACCACACAAAAGGCCACACCATCTTGGTCTTCATAGCTTCGATATAAATGATTAGTTGAATCTATTGGGGCTTGGATTAGGTATGTAGCTCATTTTTAATCTACTCACTTTTTTTACCTATTCCTTACAGATCACTCAGTTCTTTGCCCAACGATTCCCACCTAACTTTAGAATGCTTATCTTGCTTACGAATGGCTACTTGTAAGGAAACGCTGACGCCTAGGCCTTACCTTACTATTTCGAGATGGTTTTACTAAGAATGAATCAGAATCTAAAATCTATCGATTTCGTTTGCTACTCAGAGTAGGTGGTCTCTGGTGGTCAGAATCTGCATGAACTGAAGCAACTAACGCATTGACGAATAGGGCGCAGTCATAGGGTACACTCCGTCTTATCATCAACTTCAGCCCAAACTGACCCCTATTTTTCTCATTTCCTGATCATAAAGGTGTCTTATTTTATCATCAACAGGTTAGAATTACTTAAACTTTTTATTTTCCTTTTTTTTAATATCTTCCACCTTTTTCATTTTACTATGATTTGCTCTTGATTTGTTTAAGCTTTACATTGCTTATTTTCTCTTTGAAGTCCCTTAGTTCATTCAGACTTCATTTTGATTGTAGTTGTCTCCGATTCTTTTGTTATCTTTGTTATCATCCTTATTGTTTCGCAACTGCCAGAAGCCTGATCTTGGCATTGAAGTAAACTTCCCTATGAATCCAAAAAGGATAGTCTTATCCCTTCTGGACTGCAATGGGGACCTTGTATAAGGTTTCATAAACAGCCCCAGCGCGATTCGACAACGGAAAAATCCTTGGAAAATCAAGTTTAATGCAAGAGTCACTATTGCCTAGTAGTATAAAGTTCCCCGAAAAATGATGTTACTTGCCTTGAAAGTCATGCTTGTCATGTAATACAATATAGTCAAAGTCGTGTTTGCCCCTCAATCAGCATGCCAACGGTCAGAATCTCATTGGGGTGGTGAATAAACGATGATGCAAGGACGAAGCTAAGGTAAAATGTGGAAGCAATAAAGACCTTTTTGGATGCATAAAGAAGTGAGTTAATCATAAACATAAATCTTCTTCTTTACTTCATGCTCGACGAACTTTCTATCAGTGTTCTAGCCTCCTCTATTCTAGCCCTCTGATCTTAAATTTTACATCACTTCAATTTACTTCCCCAGTCTCATTTTGGACGACCTGCTCGTCACATCCGGCCGTCTGATGCTAAGCTGGTTGAATCTAATGCGAAAAATTCGCATGCTTCGCCGACAGCTGTATCATCAGAGAAAGCAGGAGTAATAGCTCAGCCACCGCCGAAACCGCGGTCTCCTCCGACCTCTCCACCACCTCCGCCACCCCCGCCCCAGTCTCCGGAAGTATCAATACTCAATGGGGAGAATGGTCTGCAGGGCGAAGACGACTTCATCTTCGTGGGTCACATCACAGGCTCCGGGTAAGGCAGAAACTTACGGTCTCTATTGGGCCCGAAATAGAGGAATTTCTACTCGAAAAAAGAGAGCTAGACGGGATCAGCTACATAATAAATACGCCTAAGAAATCAATGAGAGTGTGATAAATTAGAAGCCACTACTTTGTACGAGTTATTGCGATCAGTTAAATTTACGTCGATTATTTAATCGGCAAATCCTGTTATTTATTTCGTATGAGCATATCCAGATGCGATTGCTGAACTACCGAGCCTTGGAAGGAAGGTTCGTTTCTTCAAAATGAATCCCAGATATCAATACCATTAAACCTGAGTCATATGTGCGTATAAGCATGGACGTATGTTTGTAGTATGAATGTGTGCATTCATGCATGTGAATATGCGAGTATTTATTTATGTAACGAGGAACCTAAGGTATGTATAAAGGTCCTGTACATCCAACTACTTAACCACTTAGCCTGTTAGTGAGAAAGGAATTTCCATCAAAAGTGTGCTCATATTTACTTTGAATAAGCATCAAAACTACCACTAGTGCTTAAATAAGAGCTGTATCCACCCTGAGTCGCACAAGGTGAAAAAGATTAATATTTGAATTTTCCGACAATGGTATTGTAATGCTTCACGATTCCTTGCTTCACAAAGAGTGCAGTTATTACCTTTCTCGGGGTCTTATCAATACCACCAGCGAAAATCGAGCCCGGGTAGTGCGGCGTACAATTTCTACATGTTAACACTACACCACATTAGCAGGGTGCCATTGTGTCACAGGGCAGACCTGAATTTTATGGCTAGCTAGGCCTCTTCCATATCATATTTTTGTCTTGGGATTGTTGATGAATCCAACTTGTATTTGTCATTACAATCACTATATTACTCATATTCCGATCAGGTAGGTTTCGAAACTACCAGTAGATCTTGAATAGGAGATTCTGAACCTACTCAATCTGAATATAATTAATTTAGTCGATCTTAATAGAAAATACCAGATTGCTTTAC